GCTGTACATTTTTTCGAAAGCAGAACGCTTTTTAAATTCTTTATTGTAAAAACAAATCCTAAGTTAACAGTCGTAATTTCTTAGACGTGTGTGTATGTGTGTGTGTGATATCGAAAGAAAACTCTTAATTATTTCAGTAACCAACACTATTTCATAGATATGAAATTAGTAAGTCGGAGAAAAAGAAGAATACAGTTATAATAGAATACAATAGAAGGACTGTAGTGTGTGTTTACATGAAAACAACAGAGCCAAATGATTCAGACACTTTAATGGAGCTTCATTAGCGATTTATGCTATTAATTTAAAAACTACATGTACTTCCGCAGTCTCCGAAAGTATTCCGTTTCAAGAATAAATAAAATCAAAATAAAGAGTAATCATTTTGTATTTATTGTTTTTGAAGTTCATATCACGCTGTATTGTAGCCTATAGAGTTCATAATTTTTCTCGCGATTCATATCACATTTTACTGACGTCACTACAATACAAATTGCAACGTTAAGCGTCCCTTATGTTACTTCATTTTAGTGTTTACTGACTAACTGACAGACAACACATTACTGTATAGTGGTGTAAGTGATTAAAACAGGTATCCCCTCCAGGCGGCTTTTGGCACTCTTTCGGGTAAGTATATTAGTTTATTCCAAAACCAAGTAGCTTGTTCTTGCGTGCACGTTGCACAATGAAACTCACTGCTTTCCATATTTAACCTACTATACCTGTGAGCCTAAGTTCGATAATATCGAATACGATATCAGTTTCATGCTTGATAAAAAGAAGAAAAACACAGTTGGTGTGATTATAAATGATCTCTCTAGAAAGTGCTGTCTGAACCGGCTTTGTGTGGAGTGTGACGAAATAAAATTACTCTTTCACAATTATGCTCGAAACACAGAATTCATTTTACAAAAATCTCAAGCACGCTTTCTTTTCAACAGTCACAGAGAAAAAATATTTAAAATCAATTACTTAAATATAAAAGGGGGTGTTGATCTTTTATGTTCTTATGTATGAAGCAAGTAAATGAACGATAAAAAATCAAATGCTGAACTCACGGTTAACATGACTTTTCGATTATCCTATAAACATAGACAAACAGATCATAATGATATTGAAGCTAAAGTAAACTTAATGCTATTTCGTCTTGCTCTTTCTTAAGGTGGTTATTTTGTTTTTCGTTTATAATGTCAATATTATTCTTTCTTATAATAGTCGTTCTGTTCAATTTAGAATAGCATGGAGCTCTGGTTTCTGTGTATAATTTTATTTCATAAAGATTTTAAACGTATTTTGAGGTTTATATTGTTTAGTTTGAAAAAAGAACAACAAAATGATTTTTGTTCCTTAGTTTAGGTTTTCGCGCAAGTTATACAAAGGCTATACCTCTAATTTAGAATGAACATGGTACTCAACAGCACCCATCGCCACATCTTGGTTTACTCTCTTCCGAACGAATAGAGGGATTTGATCGTCATTTTATAAGAATTTCGATCTTACGTTTTATATCGTATTTTAAGTTATAGTTAACGGGCTGTTTTATGCAACTAAATGTAGTTATTTGTTAGTGTTGTATCATCCATGTGGCTTGTAATTGAACACTTCATGAGTTTAAAATTGATTGAGTTCAAGTTTAATGATGTGCTGCAACTTCGCATATCAGTGTAGGAAAGGGTCAACGACTCCAAATTCCTTCATTGGCAGAGTGTATTATATCTTTATGTTACAGCCAATAATTCTGTGAGAGAATGACCAGTCATGTGGTGATGCTGTTTCAAAGAAAGAATTTGAGGTTTCTGCAAAAAGTCATCTCGAACGAAGAAAAGCTGACGATCTCTTCACAGATCCAGTAAAGGCAATTGTCTAAATGTCTATACAATACACACATTGCTTTTTGTCATTAATACAGATTGTTTTCACTTTTCATTATGCATGTACATTGTTCTTATTTCTCATTCAGCTTAAAACTCAATAGGTTTCCAAATTCAGGCTACTTTGTAAATTTCTTGCTTCATTCTTCCGTTATTAAGCAGATCTAGTTAAAACTTGCAAGGAAATCGGTTCATGTGAGAATACCACAACAGCATATGGCACGTTTTGTCTCTCAACAGTAGTATAAAATATATCTCGTTTTTATCATGGTAAATAAATAGATCTTCTAATTGTTTCTTACTTGTGCTGCTTCTTGTGTATGAGAAATATTTCCTCAGTTTTTATCAGCATTTAAAGTTCATTATTTCTACTAAAAGCTATATATAATTTGCTCAAATTTTACACAAACATATATAGTCAGGTTATGAAGGCTTAAGCATTATTAAACCTATGTGATTCACATTTTAAGTTGTGAGACCATTTCATAGACTTGTTTGGTAACAGTTTTTATAACCTTTGTTTCTCAAAATGTATTAATATAGATTTATATATATACATACAATGGCAAAGCTATTTTCTACTCTTGAAGCATAGAATGAATGACAGCAACAAAATCCAAGATGGCCGCAGTGACGTTACTTCATAAAGACAGGATTCGTGAAAATTATTGAATTATGCATTAATGAAAAATATATTAAGACTGAACAAACCATAATATGATAAAAACAGAAGCCAAACATTACAATTTGTTTCCTAGCAACTGTTGCTAAGCAATTCCTCTATCATAGCAACCAAAGTTTGATTTGAAGAAATCAATTAATTTCACCAAGGAGATACTCGGAAAAGTCAGAAAAACATTCACCCTGTATGTTGAAAAATATGTTTTTATTTAATGGCTTACTTTTTATTTGTTTTCGGATATATGAATTACATTATACATATGAAAACTATGTATTCCGATATGGTAAAAGAGTCCGACTCTGGTGTACAAGGAGTACGATTTGCACAATTATCATCTTTGTACCTACATGCATCGGAACAAAGAAGGCATTCCTTCCGGCATTTGCAACGTAGAGTTTAACAAGCGCTCTGACAGCCATACTTCACAAATACTGAAATCGCTTCCGGTGCTGCGGGTAATGTCATAAGTTGTGGAGATAAGTAACCATCTAAGTCTGTATCCCAACCACTTTCAACTGGAGAAGGCAGTGCAAATTTGGTTCGACAATGTGGTTCCATGTGTATCCCTAATAGTTGGCGCGCCTAAGATGAAGATTGAATGCATTCGCAGTAGGTGGGAGATTTTCGCTTGCAAGACCTATCTTCCAGAATAATTCATAGCGTAATACATTTAATGAAGTATGTATTTATTCACACTAGACTAGTGATAGTAACGACCTGCATGCCACTTTTACACCCTCATCAATATCTGGAACACTATACCCAAACTGTTTGAGATGCCCAATTATGTCAGAATGTGCTTCCAACATCTTGAACCACTTTCTTTCCTATTCCATTAAAGGAACTAGTAAAATCACAGCCTCTTATTGCATGTAGAGATGGCAAAAACTAGAGCAACTTCTCTTTGGTGTTCTCTGCGACCTCGTGCAGGACGAAGATGGAATATCATCAACTGGTGTTTGGTGCACAACTGCTAAATTTGTGGAGCTTGTCAATGAAGAAAAACAATTGTTGTGCCAGAATAATTATGTTTCTGAGGTCTTCACAGACAGTGCATCACTATCGTCAGTGCTAAGAAATTGTTCCAAACCATCATATTGAGAACATTGCTCAGCCTTGTGTCTCAGAGTTAATGCTCTCAAAAATAAGCTTATTCCCTGTATTGAACATCTTTGTAGACTGTTATTGGTAATTTATTGACATATTACACACTTGGCGAGAACAAATTCTGTTTTCCTTTTCTTGGTTGGTTATTTCAATTTCATTGGCATAAATACACGAGCTCAGAAATCTAGCATCACCGAACGGCTTCCAGTTAATCCTCTAGTGTTCGTAACTATGCATTTCGGCAAACTTCCAAACCTCAGCACCTGTTTGCTAAGGTACAGAAAACGCTTAACAACATTTGCTAGGAGGGCATTATCAACTGTAAATTTCCTGTTTTTCTATATTTTATTCAATCTCATGTGTTATTTAGTACTTGATTACTTAGTAAAGCAGCAATTGCCACTCATACCTTTGACAAATGTTGTCTTTGTGATGTTGAGTTACTGCGGTCATTTTAGATTTTGTGGTATATCATTAATTTTAAGCTGCATGAATGGCAAATAACTTTGCCATTGTATGTATTTATTTGAAACAAAAGTCATGTAGTGATAAAGTTGTGATATAGGTTCAAAAAGTTTATAACTCTAAATATTGTGCAACTACACGTTGATTTAGTAATTGTTCAAGATTTCCAGTACAATATCTTAATAACGAAATTTTTGTTTAATATTTTCAATTCTAGTAGATAATAATATCAGCACGTTTACTGTGTTATGAATATATGTTTCTTTTCATTTCTAAAGAATATACTTACATTTGGTGTTGAGGATGTGCCCTCAGAAACTGCAGAATTGTTACCCACGATAAAACCTGTTTAGTAAAAAATGATGTAATTGGTATTCTTGTCAATGATTACCCATTACAAAATCATTGATCTTTTATTCTGGTGGCAATTGGTAAAAATTGTTAACCGGTTACTAAACTTAGCAAATTATACAAAATAACAGAATTATTGTGATACTTTTATTTTTACGAAACCGTAAAATTGCTATCCATGTTTACGATTAAACTTTGTAAGAAATAATTAGACTGTTATTATGTTGTTGTTTTTATTATTACGAAGTGATACAATTTTCATTCTGCTATAGAATTAAAAATTATACGAAATGACAGAACTGTTTTTATGGTCTTTTGATTATTATAAAAAATTGTAAAATTGTAATTTTATTCTAGTTTATACACGAAACATTGAAATTATTATCCATATATAAAGGTGAGTAATGATAATTTCCAGATAAATATAAAGAAACTATACGCGAAATAGCAATCTTTTTTACGCGTTTAATGTTATGCAATAGGAAGTTTACAACAAATACCCGAAATACTTTCAATGAAGGATATCAGAAAAATATATATTTGTTTTATTTTCGTATTTTCTAGTTAAACCAGAATTTCTTGATGTTAATGTCTACATACAAGATTTAAATCCAACCTCACAATAAAGAGTATTTTCGAAACAAGGATTACAACTATCAAAATTTAAATCTTCTGGAACTAAGCATTTGATTTTCAACTTGTGTATTTATGTGTTATAAAACTATATATAAAAAAGCTCTCTTTTCTTTAATTACTTATAATAATGAATTTAATAAAATTAAAACTTACATTTAATTCTTAAGCACTTCGAAAGTAATTTTTTGTAAAGTGTTTGACTGTAGCCGTGTGTAGCACGAGTTACTTATAAACAATAAAACTTGGTATTTAATACAATATTACTAAGGCTAAGGTCGAATTCTGTATACATATTATAACGAACAAAACAAAAAAGTGAAAGTCATTGGTTTTTATAAAATTGCTTCAACATTAGAATAAAAAATATTAATACAAACACATGTAACATAAACAGAACACTTATTGCTTAGCAGTTTAACGTCTAGTTTTCAACGGCGTTCAATGTTGGGTATACGTGCAAGCCTATCTACAGTAAATCATCTAAGTTGTTCTCTATCTGCAAATCTACCGGAACAACAGTCGCATCAGCCATTCTTCTGGGCGAGTTTTTTTATTATTCTAAAGCAGGCCCGTCTTCTTCGGTAGAAAAGATATTTTCGTCATTTATAGGAGATAACTCATCATCTACGAACTCTTTACCTTCATGAGGCTTTAAAAATTCTCCCCATTGATCATTTCCATAAGTCACTGAAGAAATATTGTGGTATTCATCCCCTATGTCCTCCCAATTTTCTGACCTAACTTCATCTGTAATATATAGTAGATGTTTTGGAACTAATTCATAAACATTGTCTTCGTTCTGATAATGTAAGTCCTCGTTTTTTCTAATCTCAGGTCCTTCATTTTCACCCTCACCATTAAGAAGTAGGGATTCCTCTTCGTGATTAGTTTGGTTATCAAGATATTCACTAGAAGATAAGCTAGACTTATCAAAATAAGACCCATCAATCACTCCTTCTGGTATTAAGTCTTCACCTACTCCTTTTTCATCTAACTGATCTTCCTCTGTGACAAATGGTTCTCCTTGAAAATTCCATGGAGCATGCTGGAATTCAAGTGGGTTTACTAAACCGTCGTCTGCAAAGAAAAACAAACAATATTACCTCTGTACGTATTCAGTTTACAGAACTATGAGATAAACCTCGTTCAAATTGGGTGGAACAAAAAACGAGTAGCTTTTGGTTTTCTTCGGATTACCGTACATAAAAGAATGGTTTATTGTTCTAAGGTCCTGCCTTCATATAAACAACATTAAAAAAGATGTCATTTATTAAAACTGAAAGCTTGCCAAGTCACACAGAGGAGTACTACCCAGTCTGTAACAGTTCAAGTAATATACACAATAACCATATCAGATTTTAGTAATTTAATTAAGCAGAACTAATCCTACATGTTACACACTTTCACCAAAAGTAGCCTAACAAACATCGATGCCAGGCACCAACTCTATCCACGTCCATGCGTTGTAAATCAGCAGACTTACCGCTGTCCCATCAGGCAACAAAATGTGAAAATAAGATTGCTTAGAAATTCAATAATAACTCTTATATCACGGCAAGTGTTTTAAATGTTTCTGAAAATTTATAACATTTTAGTTTTAACAAGGTAAAACTCTTTTATAAAATAATGTCAATCATCCCTCCCATTTCAACTTTAAGCAAATAAGGGTATGTGATCTGAAGCGTAAGTAACAAGTAATTCAACCTACGATCGTAAATGAACATTTGGTAAAGGTGAATTTCTAGTTTTATACTTCATCAATTCATTACAGTTCACTTCGATATGTTATACGGCCATCAGAAACAAGTTTGGTAATGTAGCATCAGTGTTACGTATGCGATATTCAGGTGCACTGATTTCCAACAGAAGACTATATATATCAAGATTCTTCAATACACTGAAGATTCTAGAATAATTTAGCAGAGAATAAATCGGACAGAAAAGAAAAAGATCTAACACAAGTGAATGAAGAAAAATATTTAAATCGTACTTCTAGTTGTCCTGGAGATTTGGGCCACACCCTAGAAATCCCGAAAATGTCATGGCGATCAGATTTCAGGAAGAAGGTAATGAATAAAGTAAGGGGTTTCGAATCCCTTTAGGACGTATTCAAGAACCCCTGTGATTTTTCATTGTGATCACAGATCGACAAGAAGGAAAAATTTCGTCATGGACAGGCAGACATAGACACAAACAGCTTTATAATATTGATGTGGTACTAAAAATCAAACATAATATTTCGCTGTCAGAAGAAACTGCGTAATATCACGTTTTTATGTATTGCAGTAGTTTCAACAAAACTCAAAGATACAAAAAGTAACAGGATTTAAACTATGACTTTGAAGTATTATACCTATCAGAATAATTGCATTCACTCTTATACAAACGAAACTAACAACAACCAATCACTATTACAAATTTATATATCTATGTTTGATACTCATGTATGTAAGTAATAAAACAATATGTAGCCTTTTTTTCTTAATTTCACTATAAGGACTTTAAAAAAAGATAACGAAAAACTCTGGTATTGTTGATTAAACTTCTAATTAATATTTTCAACTTACTGGAGAGTGGGATTTTGGTACTTCAGTGGGATTTTTTCCCCCCATTCTAAATAACATCATGTGTGATTGCAGTTTTACTTTGAGGCTCACGACTGTATTCCAATCTCGTGCCCTTAGACTTAAAAATTGAATTTATTTTTAGCTTCGCGTGTATTCGCGCCAACAAGTAAGATGGAAGTCTATTTACTACGTCAGAAAGAATAAATACATCTTTGTCAGAAAAGCAGACTAGATTCGTGTATAATCATCAGAAATCTGAGATTAGTCAGATGTCGCAATTTTTACATCTATAAAATGTGTTTACACAAACATACTGTCATATATATAACACTCGCACTCATGGTAACAGTATATGGTGTGTAATTAAACTGTTTAAGGAAACATAAAAATCATAATAAAGACGTCAATACTGGCGTTTATAACAGAAAATTAAATGTTTCAATCTTCGTTTTTTGGTACTTAAGTAAACACGTATCCATGAATGTGACAACGTAAAAGGCTTGCAGATGATTTAATAGGAAAAAACTAAGAAGCTAATGTGCATGTATGTACCCTCTCATTCGACCTTGACCAGTTATCTTTACCCATTCTATACGTCATTTCAGCCTGTTATGTATAGGTGCGTCATAGCTCTGCCTACAGACGAGCCAGTCTTCTTCCACAGTATTATGTTTATTGACGTTTCGGTAGTGCTACACTCTATAAATAAATTAGTTACACCTGTACATTTAGAGAACTATATTGCCAAATTTTACAAGTCACCAGGTGACAATCATAGGAAGCAATAGCCTTCAAACAAATATTTTTTACTTGTTCAAAAATGTATTCCTTGCCCCACTAATGAATATATTAATCAACATATATTGAACGTTATATAGGTAATATATTAACGAAAGCTGCCATAACCAATAGCCTTTAAAATCATATATATATATATTTATTTTCATTCTGCAAATAATGACCGTATGAATTTTATAGCAAGTACGACCTGAAACAGTCTGAAGGATAGAGAAGACGGATATATCTAATTTTTATATAGCATAACGTACATAATATCACCTTATGTAGTTATATTCTTAAGTTGGAAACAAATACCTGAAAACTGTGTAGTAATACTTGATTAAAAATAGTTAATTCATATTGTATTGTAAACGCAGATAAATGTAAAATATCAGTTTTAGTGCCATCTTTTCAACTGATAGACTAGAGAAGTGATCGGTAATCTAAGACCCGCGGCAATGATTTGTCTGACCCACCAAAAGTTGGCTTCACTGTTGCAACCCGTGAGGGCAGAATCATTGCTCAATTCAAATTTCTCGGCTATGTGAGAAGAACAAATATATTAAACTAAAAAGTCACGGCTGAGAATTTTAAGATCGATTTTAGGGAAAAACATCCAAGTTGGTCGAACTATCTGTGATAAAACTTTTGACCGTAATGCTTCAGGTGTACTTGCCTGTCTGGCGGAAAGTGCTGTGTGTGATATATTTTGGTGTTTTTATAGGTTTTGAGGTGAGTATATGGCAAATTATTTATGTTTACAGGTAAATGAGAGTCTCGGGCTATATA